TTTAAGTTACATTTGACTGAGTTTTGAAGGATAAGGCATCCAGCTGAAGAAAAAGTACTTCAGACACCAGCAGAACGAACAGATAGTTATGAAGAGGTGGACATGCTCACTTTTTAACTCGGAAGATTAACTTTGATGGAATGTATTAGCGTGAAAATCACCTGGATGAACCTGTAAGATGGCTGTAAGACAAGGCAGAGGCAGGAGTTGAGATGGGCTCTGGCTGAGGAAATGAATTGGTAGGGAGTAAAAGTGATATAATGGATGTAAATGGTGCCATCCAGTGTATACCAATGTTCTTCGATAACAACAAAAATGTTAAGGTGGTAAAGTTCACTTTGAGGCATACAAAAAAATCTGAAGTGCAAGCAAGTGCACATGTGAAGCTGTCTGGTATATACCATAATTAGTACAGTAGATCAAAGCAAGAAAATAAAAGAAATAGACTTGGGAATCATAGGAGGCTGTGGGAGTGGGAGAACACTGCAGAGAAGTAAACCAATCCCAGCCTGATCTCTGGAAACCATTACAATGGAAGGGAGGGCAGAGGGAGCTAATAAGGGACTGAGTGTGGCAAAGGTGAAAATGGGAACACAAAACGACACTAAAAAAAAAAAAAGTCTGGCAGACATGGTGGCTCACACCTGTAATCCCAGCACTTTGGAAAGGTGGGGCAGCAAGATCCACTTTTAGCCAGTTCAAGACCTGCCAGGGTAACCAGGTCTCCACAAAAAAATTAGCAGGACTTTGTGGCACACACCTGCAATCCCTGCCAGAGGCAGGATTGCTTGAGGTCAGCTCAAGGCTGCAGTGAGCTATTATCTTGCCACTGCACTCCATGCTGGCCAACAGAGTAAAACTTACTAAATTTTGCAGCTGAGGTTACAACGAATATAGAAAACATTGAAACAACAACAAATAAGTTATGATTCCAAGAGTAGGTGGGAGGGTAAAATCCTCAAAATGGGCATAACATTGGCTAGAAAGTTTTCCTAATTATAACCTCAAAAAGGGGCAAGTTAAAAAATAGAAACACTTGAAAGCTTCTCAAAATAGCAATTTATAATTTTTAACAGTGCTATTCAAAAGTAACATTTCCCTAGCCTGAATTATGGCAGAATTTCCCACAAGGTTAGAAAACACAGAAAAAGATATTTACCTGTTTTCCCTTCTACTGTATTACATCTCTAATAGTACCAGAGAGAATATAGGCAAAGTGTTTAGATAGATGGTGACACAGTAAGTGGAATTAAAAGTAAACAATTGTCCTTATAAAAAAAGTAAAATAGCACCTCAGGTTGAGAGATTAAATGTTACCAAATAATCCCAGGTCACACCATCTAATGGGTATACCCATACATTAACATTATACCCGTATAAACATTAACTATAGCTTCTTTTACATCAGTGGCCACTCGATCAAACATAGTGAAAACCTGGTTTACTAAGGCCAACCAGCTTTTAGTTAGAGATTACTATAATGCTTAAAAGCACCAAGCTACCCAGTATACAAGGCACTATCTTACAGCAAATTTTGGACAAAGGCCTTACACGTGTATACCCAAGACCAAAGAAAAAGCATTCAATAACCAGGTTTGGCCCAAGTACATGGCCTCAAGACACCTTAACTATACAGAAACTTGACACACATGGGTACCATTTCTCTCCCTGCTGAGGTTCCTAGGGACTGCGATGTATTAAAACATCACTTGCTTCTCTGTAAAACACTATAAAAGTCAATGAATCCTATGACCTTCCCTATAGGAACATCCACAAGCATTCCTAGATACCATGCACTTCAAGTATCCCACAGCATAAATTCGATCCTGCCCACCTTTGTACTTTGACTGTCCACTCACTGTCCCAACATAGGATTACAATCTATTAACATCCACTTACCTAACTGCAGCCTTTCCCCAGGCTCTAGATTGGTCTAGTCAGTGATAACTGCCCATACTCCCTCCAGTAGACCTGGCTGTTACCAGGTACCTCACAGCAGGTCTATCTTTGCTTAGGCTCTCCATGTTTTAATTTCTCCAACACTGTCATTGATTAGCCTTTCATTTAGAAGGGTCAAATAGGCAGTTGTTTCTTATAGAATATTCCCACTTAATTTGCACTAATCATTTTGCAATTACCTTTCCCTTCACACTAACAGGGCCCATACATTACTACCGCAAATAAAAAGCCAGAGATAAGGAACATGAGCCAAAGTTTTTATTTGTTCACTTCTTGCATTTGAAGTACTCTTCGATGACATCCTTGGCCTGAGATTCTTTGCCATAGTCCTTTAAAAAAATTACATGCAATTTCTTATTAACATTTATAAATTTCACTAAGTTCTTAGCACTACTCACCGTGAAGCTTTAATAATTAACTTTGTCTTATGAAAATGTATCCTGTCACTAAAATTTGTTATAGCCATTTTCAGGGACCTTAACGACTTCAATGTCCTTAAGGCTCGTAACATGGCTTTACTATTGCCAGCTTTGTTAAAATTTCTGCAGAAACACATTCAGGTAAGCAGATTCATTGACTGGCTTCTACATCATTAACTATCAATCTTTTTTAAAATACAGGAAATATTTTTAAACTCTTTAAGATTTTTTCCTTTAAAAGGTCCTCAAACTTATTACAACACAGGGTAGTGTAGTTACCCAGCACAAACTTCATCCCAGAGATAAAGTTACTTACCTTAACTACTACACAACTGCAACCAACCACCTTCCGGGGTTTCCCTTCTCTGTCAATTTTACAAAGGCCTACCCACTCCCCTAGTTTCTTGTTGTCATCAACCTATTGTAGAAAAAAAAATATCACATTAGTAGGCATTAATGCTACTGACAATAATTAAACCCCAAAGGTGGCTGTAGTCAGAAGGGTGACATGGCAGTTTCCTCACAGCAGTTCAGTAGAGGGAGCCAGTTGTCATCATGTACAGCACAAAGATCACCTATACGAACACTCCACCCTTGTTTTTGTTCTATATCAACATCCAGATAAGCACTTGGTTCTGCAGGTATAAAATGCTTCTACCAATTAGCCTTAACAGGGCCCACAATGTGAAGTTGATCATACATTCACACCTGCAGAAAGTAATAGCCTGAGAACTGGCAGAACTTACATCGGTATAACAAATATCACTATGGATAACACTAGTTCCAACATATGACCCTTAACACCAGTCCAATTCTCAACACTAAAGCATCTACTAACAGTTCAGACACATCAAATTAGACGAGTAACTTACCTTAATTAGGTTGATTTGGTGTTCAGCACAAAGGGCCTCCACCAACTTGACATACATGGGCTCATCACAGTTGGATGCGAGCACACAAAGATGGGCTTGGCGCCTGAAATTCAAAATGTAAAGAAAATGAAATTATAATCCAGGTCTAAATCCATCACTCTTGCAACTTACTGGAGAATACATCATAAATGTATACACAACTACTCAAGCCTGATCAATCTGTTACAGCACGTATTAATCACTTCACTTGTTTTATCTGCAGAAACACTGCATCTTCAGGAAGATTTCTTTCCCCAATATACCAGATTTGTGTAGGAGAAGTTAACTGAAAAACTTGCGGACAAAACAAAACCATGGTAACCTTCTAATAAACCAGTCTCATATCCAAAGAGACCTCTGTTACATCAACTACCAAGTAAGAATTGCGATGTTACGGGTCCAAACATTGAATAAATACTGTGCAGCACGGCCAAGATGTAAATATTAATAGAAGATTCACGCCAGGACCTATTGCACTACATCAAACAAAAGTACTGTTTCTACGGGATTACAAATGGCTAGCTTACACCAACGCAATCGGTGAAAACCCTTAAAATGCATTTAAACTCAGCTCAAATGTAAAGTTCTTTTGCCAATGTAATCAGCCTAAAGAGCGTTAGAGCCAGCCTAAACCAAATATTTTCAAGTATTTCAGATTCAAACAAATTTCCACAGCTACTATACTTACTAAATTCATCTACAACCAAATGCTTCTGCAGCAAATATCACCACATAACTCCTTCAGTGTAACTAAATGTTCTGCAAACTGCTAAATAAAAGGAGGCTCCCCAATCATCCTCCAGAAAATATAAAAATAACCCCACAACCTACAGGTTTGTCAGACTGTTATGTTTCACTCATGAAAGGAGTGAAGGGGTATCCGACAATTTAAGTCATCATTCAAACACTGTAGTTTTACTTTCGCTAAAAACCAAGTGCTTATCCCCACTCCAAACGACAATCCACACGTTTTAAGTGGGCTATATAGATCTCAGTTCCGATACCTTTTCCTAGGTTTCCTGTAGGACGGATACGGATGCCACTCAGAACTTTTGTGCTAACACCATGAACTTCACGCTTTCTTCCCTCGGTTGCAGTTTTGCTCCGGTTCCAACAACCCACAGTATTGAGACTGATACACGTACTTGTCTAAGGCTTTGGCAGCTTCGCGAATTCCACGTGCAAGGCCATCGTGGATGAGGGCGGTCTTCAGCACCTCTTGTAAAGCAGTATTAACGTCCATTACACCTCCAGCAGCAATGCTGAAACGCGACAAATCAGAACGACCAGTTAAAATCTTCGCACCATTTAACGGCTTAGCTTCTGCAGAGACAAAGACGACGTACGACCGGCGCGCTTACGGCGACTCGGCCCACGCCTCACAGCACGCCAACCCCAGCCCTTGGGCTCACCCTTCCTCGGCCATGGCGGTGGGTTACGGGTGAAGCCGAATCTTGAAAGCACTGGAAAAAAGGCAAAAAAAAAAAAAAAACAAAAACCAATAACTTATCAAAGAATTTAGCTTTGACTCAGATACCCACCAACAATCCCAGCCAGGGCACGACGAGCCACGAACCACCACCACTAGATTCCCCGTAAAATCGTCCAACTCACCACAAGCCTCCGCCTCCGCACGACTCGGCGGCGGCAGGGAAAGAGGCCGCGAGTGCCCGCATGACGGTATTTAAGGGCTTTCAGGCCCCCTGTGCGCATGTGCACTCCTTCTCACGACAGAGGTGGCTCTCGCGGTGCCGGGCCTCGGAGTTTCTGTTTCCGGATTGAGGCAGTTCTGAGGCAAGAGGACTACGAGTTTTCTATCTCTGCTCGGCCAGTCCTTGGCGCGTGCCACAGGCATCACGCGGGCAGCCTCGCGTCCTTCTTCCTTGCCGGGGGCGTGGCCTGCGGAAGCCCAGAAAGCTCTTCCTACGGAGCGCGAGAGAAGTCAAATACAGGTGTCCGCGTGGTCTCCTGAGGTCCCGGAGCCCTGGCTCCTTCAAAACGCTAGTTTAACCCTTTCCACACCACATGGTGATTTGCAGTCGACTCCACTAGATTGAGCCTTCCTGAGGAGCACACTTTGTTCCTTCGCTTCTAAGTCACTTTGTCCGTGAATGTGTCGTTATGTGGGTGATCCTTATTTTTGTTTTCCAAGAGGAGAACCAACACGTTTGCACTATTTACAAGCACTTGCCAAATCTCACTCTCCTAACATGTGTTGGTAAAGTGGACCCTCCAGCGTGGTGGTCGGTACTGGTTTCTAAATATAGTCGGAGAGTAAGTTCTAAACGAAGTTTTTTGTTCTTGTTTTGTGTTGAATACTTGATTGTGCCCTAAATTTGTAGTCCCGCGCAAATCAGGAATTTTTTTAGGTGCATTTTAAACACCTAACATGTGCCTGACACAGGGATAAGGTCTGGGACTACAGAAATGAAAAACGTAGTTTTTAAAAATCCCTCATTTTCATCCAGGATCTGGAGGAGTTAGGGATGGAATTCGAGAACCCCAAATATCCATTTTTTTCCCCCCCGGAAGCAGAGTTTTAAAATTCGAAGTGATGGGCAATTTCCCTTCCCGCACTTCCAAAGCAAAGACACGAAACACAGCTGAATGTTATCAGTACTTTTTTTTCTTTTGCTTTACCTTCCCTTCATGAGAAGTCGCCAAGCCACTCAGCAATTATTAAGCGCTTGGTATGTGCCAGCACTGTGGATACAGTGAACAGCTCATGACAGACTTACGCTGTGAAGAAAACAAAAATGGGTAACACAGTAATAAGAGTGCCAGGGAGAGTTAGCCAGAATAGACATACTGGAATTTTAATATATTGATATGGCTCATATTTAGCTTTTCAAACGCTTTCAGTTTCATTTTAAAAATGTTGAAACTGCTTCTTTCCATCAGTAACTCATGCAAATGTTCATTGAGCTTTTGCTTCAAAGAAAAAAAAAAGGCACAGAATTTATAACGATGAGAATTATTCTTTACGCTCTGCATTTTTGTGGTAGGATTAAGATTTGAGCCAAAGATTAGAATATCTCAGGGCTACAGGGGACACACGGGGGACTCCAAGGCATGAAGTTAGTGAATAGGCATGATATGGAAAGGTAAGAGGATTTTAGGCTTGTGGCAGCGTTTGTAAAGGGCTCAAAAAATAAAAAAAAAAAAAAGATTCCAAACAACTGAGCATAGGAAGAGAGGAGAGGGGGTATTCTAAGTGGACGAAAGTATAAGGGCCAAGATATGAATGCCTTTCTTGGCTTTTTTGGAGGTTACCATAACACATTTGTATTTTTGAAAGAGAATGTGGTAAATATTGTTTCAGCACATTTCTCATTATCTAAGGTACATAAAAGTTAATATGCTAAGCATATTAGATTTCTTCCCCTGAAAAAATTTTAAGAAAGAAGCAGGGAATTTGGTAAAGACTTGGGAAACCTAAATGGGGAAAATAATCATTGCCAAACAACATATTTATGTGGGAGGAAAATGTTAAAGAGCCCTTCAGTTTATGTGGTTATTCCCAGCATAGTACCAACCAACTGAGACTTGGTTTCCGTCTTCTAGCAACCCTTACTCTGTTCTGTTGACCCAGATATCATAACCTCTGCCTTAATGTCACCTAAATCCAGTGATATAACCAGCTCTAACCCCCCAAAGGAAGTTAAAAGGGCACGCTGGTGAAACAAGGATTCTTTCATATAGATTCTCTGAGTTCACTTTTTTGAGATGAGTTCCTCTCAATTTGAGGTATTGGCAAAGGTGGGAGACAATACTAAACAGAGGTTAGTACCCAGTCACTCTTACACCAGCAAATTATAATACTTACATAATGTACACAAATATGAGTCTGAAATGCATATGAAAAACAAATGTATTCTAAAGTTTGTTTTAGGAACAATAATGATAATGGTAGGTAATTCTGTTTAGCATTTTCTATATTCCAGTAACATGCTAAATTCTTATCATGTATTTTCTCCCTTGACTGGGGTAGTGCCAGTACTAGGCCTCTGTAGCAGGCAACGAAACCAAGGCTTAGAGGGTTGCCCAAGATCACACAGCTAATAAATGTGGAAGCTGGTATTTAAGCCCAGCAGACTTCAAAGCCCCTGTCCCTAACCCTTCAGCCATTTAAATGATTGCCCAAATGTGGGAGGGAGATCTCTGGGAATTCAGAGATGACTCTTTACATCTCACATTTGGCAATGATGTAACTGGCTCTATCTCACTGTGCTAAAAAGTTGCATAGATGGAGAAAGGGAATTTTCCTGTTAGGCAGAAAAAGAGAGCAGTAGAAATTTGGATTTCCGAATCATCTAAGTGTACATGTTGTATAGTTTACTAGGGCTGCCATAACAAAGCACCACAAACTGGGTGGCTTAAACAACAGAAATTGAACATTTCATAGTTCTGAAAGCTAGAAGTCTGAAATGAAGGTGTGGACAGGTCCTTCTGAAGCTGTGAGGAAGAATCTCTTACATGCCTGTTTCTTAGCTTCTGGAGGTTTCTTGGCAATCTTGATGTTCCTTGACTTGTGTTAGCATAACTCCAGTCTTCACATGACATTCTCCCTGTGTGCATGTCTGGCTTTGTGTCCAAATTTTTCCTTTTTATAAGAATACCAAAAGTTGGGCATGGTGGTGCATGTCTGTAGTCCTACTTACTTGGGAGGATGAGGCAGGAGGATGGCTTGAGCCCAGGAGTTCAAAGCTGCAGTGAGCTATCATCACACCTGTGAATAGCCACTGCATTCCAGCCTGGACAACATAGGAAGACCCCATCTCTAAAAAAGAAAGAAAGAATACCAGTCATATTGGATTAGGGGCCCATCTGCTCCGGTCTGACCTTATCTTAACTAATTATTAATACATCTACTACAGCCCTTTTCCAAATAAGTCCTGGTTCTGAGGTGCTGGGAGTTAGGACTTCAACATATGAGTTGTTTTTTTTTTTTTTGAGACAGAGTCTTGCTCTGTTGCCCGGACTAGAGTGCCGTGGCGTCAGCCTAGCTCACAGCAACCTCAGACTCCTGGGCTCAAGCGATTCTCCTGCCTCAGCCTCCCGAGTAGCTGGGACTACAGGCACGCGCCACCATGCCCGGCTAATTTTTTCTATATATATATATTTTTTCTAGTTGACCAGATCATTTCTTTCTATTTTTTAGTAGAGACGGGGTCTCGCTCTTACTCAGGCTGGTCTCAAACTCCTGACCTTGAGCGATCCACCCGCCTCAGCCTCCCAGAGTGCTAGGATTACAGGCGTGAGTTTTGTGGGAACACGGTTCAACTCATAACAAATGCCAAAGAAGGAGGAAATGTAGAACAGATTAAATGATAGAAAGGATCTTTGAGTTGAACTGTAAAAAACTTTCTTGAAAGACCAAAGCTGGGAAGAAAAGTTGGGCCAAGGCATATTAAAGATTTTGTATCTTGGAGTGGTCAGGACCCACCTGAGCTGAGTTAAAATTTTAGCTCACTTTGTGGCCTTTGGCAAGTTATATACATTTCTGAGCCAGTAAAATGGTAATAATGCTATAATGCCGTTGTGAGGATTAAATGAAATGGTTGTTTCAAGTGTTTACCATTGTGTCTGTAAAGTAATTTACCTTATAAAGAACTTCATATGAAAATATATGGAAAGGTTCTTACATATTACCTTTCTCCTCTCCTAAACCATACAGCACTTAAAACAGTGACTTGCATATTGGAGGCACTAAAATCAATTCATTGAATGAAATAAAATTAAAGAAGCCTGTGGAATAGATGTCATAGTTAAAAAAAGCCGTGTCGACAACTACTATCATAAATTAACGTCTGCTGTGAGGTAGCTGGAGGCTTTGAGCATCCCTGAAAACCACTTTCAGTTTGAAAACTTTTAAAATGTCCCTACCTTTGGGGGTAAAAATTAAATACAATGGGTGGAAATGAGTGCTAAGAAATAGGAGAAAAAACTCAAAAATATTATCCTGCTGCAGCTCAGGAGCATATAGGTCTAACCCTCATTTATTATAGCATATAGTTTCAAGCATACTGAAGACAAATTAGTCATAGTAGAAGAAAGGTTTGGATAAAATCCCATTATATCAAAGGATGAATTAAAGGAGAAAAAGAATTTGTAAGGGAAAAAGATAAAAAAGAAAATAAGAAAGTAGGTGGATGAGTAAGAGTGAAATAGACTACTAAAGGCTTTTAGTAGTAGCTTGTAAAGTTAATATGTAAAGGCTTTAATTGCAAAACCTAGTTTATTAAGAGGAAAAAAAGGTTGTGGGGGAGAATGGAGCTAGATTATTATATAGCTAAGTATGAAACATATGCCAATAGTTTTTATATTTTGAGGGTTTTGTGTAATTCTCATCCAAGTTCTCATAAATCTGTTTCTTTACTCCTTTTTATTGCTTCTGGAAGATGCTACCCATATCTTTGGGTGCTGTAGCTGCTTACTGTAGGGCTGACTTAGTGTCTGTGGGAACTGACATACTGTGGATGATAATTAGAAATAATACTTAAAGTTTATAAATAGACCAATTAAAGACCAGCAACACCGTAATTTATATGTGAAATAAAGAGTAGTGGCTGATAGAGCAAAGCCTAAATTGACACTAAATTTGTTCCTTTGGGATCCAAGGGCCTGAGTGTGTGAGATTCCAGCCCCAATGCTGCTTCCAATAGAATAGCTCTACTGTTATCTGAGTAACATTTCTTTTGAAAATGGGATTCTTTCTTTTAGTATATAATTTTATTTTAATTGTGTAATAAAAAACAAAATTTACCATCTTAACCATTTTTAAGTATACAATTCAGTAGTGTTAAGTATATTTACATTATCGTGCAACAGACTTCCAGAACATTTTCATCTTGCAAAACTGCAACTATACTCATTAAACAAGTCCCCATTTCTCTCTCCCACTATCCCTGGCAACCATCATTCATTCTGTTTCTACGAATTTGACTACTTT